CAGCTTCCTGGTGGAAAGCTTTCTGCCACATCAGCAACACCCATGTCAACAAAATTCCCTCTTAGAAAAGAGAGGCAGAGAGCAGGCCAGGCCCAGGTCCCACTCTCTCCCAGGATGCACCTGCTCTTCCTGGCTGTGGATCACCATCAGATGAGCACCCATGCTGGAGCACTTCTCCTCACTCTCTCTCCAAGATGCTGAGCCAGTCGCAGTGAAGTAGCAGTGGGAACTAAATGGCTTCCAATCCTTTGGGCAACAGCTCCAGACTTTGTCTTTGGGGGAAGAAAGAAATGTAAGTGCAATGTCATAAAGTCATTTTAAAGCTGCTTGATGTGGAAACCACATGGAAGCTGGGACTCCCCACTTCTACAGATGCAGCAAGGAACCCCTCCCAATTCAGATGCCAGGCATTCAAGTCTACCTCTATCTACACTAATATCAGGACCCCTTTGTCCTACTGTGGTGTTGTCAGGAACAGAGTGCCACGGACACCCAGACACTGAGGACATAATGCCAAACTGTCTGTGTCTCTAAATAAAAGTTTAGTTCTTGGTATAACTCATTATACCAAGAACCAGAAAATTTCATAGTTTTATATGCTGTATTTAAATAATACATGTCAGTAATCATGGCAGCAAAATTCTGACATTTTTTAAGTTAATGATGATAAAAATACTTCACAAAAATATTACAAATATTCTAGAAATAAATGGAAAATAGAATGCCTTAAGAAAGTAAAAAAAAATATAAAAACCCAATGTGTGTAAATACAACTTTTTTATTTTTGAAAACATCATTTTAATCATTGCATTGTGTTTCATTATACTCATATATGAAGATATTTTTAACAGATTCATTTTTTGCCAGTTACTTAGGGTGTTGCTTTTCTTTACACCCCTATTAAGAATAATAGCAACAGACCAACTTTGTCTATACTAGTTAATTGTGTCCCAGGGAAAATTTTAGAGAATAAAAGGTGGGTCAAAGGATGAAATGTGTTGTAAGTATAACTCTTTCTTTCTGTAATAATGAGTTTTTCCATTTCATAATTGAAAAAAAATTGATAGAATAGTCTTTTTCAAATGCAGTACAATGGGGTGACAGAGAAATCAGGAGAAACAAAAATCATAGAAATTGAATTGAATAACAGAGACAAAACAGAAATAAACAAGCAAATGCAGCCTTCCTTCATGATCCTTAACTGTCTATACCAAATAAAGAGTGGTATAAAATATGTGAAAAATAAAACAAAGAATTGAGAAGCATATTGTGACAGATACACAGAGCTAAATTCACACACTCATGTATATCCCTATGTGCTTGTATGGATACAAAGAATGTCAGAGATGAGAAAGCAATCACGGACCAGGAGGAGACAGAAGAATGAATGGCCAGAGCATGCAGTGTTCAGTGAAGATCTAAGAAATTACATTTTTAGTGGTAAATGTAAACAAGGCTCAGATGACAAAGAGTATTGTGCACCATTATGAAGAACTTGGATAGATATAGACAGATACATTATTCTGTCTCTTGAGAAACCTAACCCAATATTCCACCATAGTGTGGGCTACATGTATCAATATCCTTTCAAAATTACAATGTGTAAAATGGATTTTAAAAAAGATCAATTTTTTACATTTAATTAAAATTTAATTATATCATATTCCCTCCAATCCCTGCCATGTGCCCTCCTCTCTCTCAAATTCATGGCCTATTTTTATTGCCCTAAGAGCTATGGGCAATTAATACCTACTGAGAGAGGGAGAATTAATCTCCAGGGATGAGCCTCCTAATTGGTTATCCAATACCAAGTGGTTAGTCTTAAAAGGGTACACTTTTATCAGCCAGAACACAGCATAGCAAGATGCAGTCAGACTAGGCATAATCCCTCATATCAAGGTTGGTCAAGGCAACCCAGTAAGAGGAAAAAGGTCCCATGAGCAGAGGAGGGCCGCTCTTTTCTGAGGGGAAATGGAGGGACAGATGATCTAGGGGATAGGGGAGGTAGCAATGGCGGGGAGAAGAGGAGAGAAAGGAGGCTGCAGATGAGATGTATTGTATTAAAGAAGAACAATTTTTTAAAAAAGAAATCAGAGATTCAGATGATGAAAAAAGGTACACTTTTAAATACCCTTCCTTAAGTGGATCATCAGGCAATAACAGTCTGTAATTATTGGTATAGTTTAGACCCTGTGTACTATATAATTAAACTAGCATTTCACACCTGTCAATTCCTCTCCAAAAATAATTACTCAAATTTTAATATAGGAATATCCTGTAATATATCAGATCAGTCATCCTCAGAACTAATATTCAGATCATTTAAAACAAGTATCTTCTGAAAA